ATCCCCCAGGATAATAATCAGAGAGTCCGGGTATAAGCGTTCCATACACAGTACTTGCTCTGCGAGTGCGCGCTGAGCCTCGCGCGCGTCCGCGCATGGCGGTATGTAAACAGAGGCAAGAATGAATGAAACAATTTCCCGCGGGGAGTAATATGGTTTACAATGAATGAAAAGATCATTGTATCAGACCTTAATCCAAGACTCCATGATATCCACGCATTTCTACAATCCATAAATCAACCTAGGGCGACAGTAGCTCAGTTGGTAGAGCATTGGCCTTTGGGCCTGAAGGTCGTGGGTTCAAGCCCACCGTAAGACCTATTTCACGACTCCCACTGATGACTGCTGTCGTTGTGTCCTTGGGCAAGACACTTAACCCTACTTTGCCCAAAGCCCCAACTGAAAGATCTCAGCTCCTGTGGACTCACCACCTGCAGGAGGATCAGTGAGGGGCTGGTGCTCTGTGGACTGGGTGCAGCTCTGACTGCCGCCCCCCCGACCCAGAAATGGATTAAGGGGAAGAAAATGGATGGATGGATAAATCAACCTACATTGACGAACGCCCAGACTTCCCAACTGGATGCTCCAAAATAAATGAAAAAGAACTTCCTTCCGCACTAAAACACATGCCTAACTACAAGTCTCCTGGCCCAGATGGCTTCCCTGCTGAGTTTTATAAACATTTTTGGGATATTCTCTCTCCACTCTTCACCCGCATGCTCTGTGAATCTCATCTAAACTCCACCTTTCCTCAAAACATCAATGCTTCTATTACCGTAATACTCAAACCTAATAAAGACCCCCTGCTCCCCTCAAGCTACAGACCCATTTCTCTAATAAATGTGGATATAAAAATCATCTCAAAAGCACATAGACTGGAGAGAGTAATCCCATCAATTATCCACCCCGATCAAACAGGTTTTATAAAAGGTAGACAATCATCAAATAACACACGCAGACTGTTCGATCTCATTCATCACACCATCAATATCCAATATAAATAACATTATAGTTTCCCTTGACGCTGAAAAGGCTTTCGACAGAGTACACTGGCCATTCCTGTTTGCTGCATTGGGGAGGTTTGGCTTCGGCGAGTCATTCATAAACTGGATAAAATTACTTTACAATTCACCTTCTGCATCAATTGTAACCAACGGAATAACACCACAAAGATTCACACTACACAGAGGTACAAGGTAGGGCTGCCCACTCTCTCCCTGCCTCTTCACCATATTAATCAAACCACTCGCTGCACCTATTCGTCAAAATCAATCCATTATAGGAATCCAAACCCAAAACACTGAACATAAAATTAGCCTCTACGCCGACAATATTCTCTTATTCCTACACAACGCATCTTCAATAGGAATCACAATCGATCTTACAAACTCATATTCCAAAGTCTCTGATTACTCAATAAACTGGTCAAAGTCCTCAATCCTCACACTAAAAAACAGCTGGGATGTGGCGGCCTGTAAAGTACCAATTCCTGTCACTGACCATATCACACACTTGGACATGCACAGCTCCCCCAGGCTGTCAGAACTATTCAGACTCAACTTCACTCCACTACTCTAAACCCTAGACAACGATCTTCAACACTGGACAAATCCCCCACTATCACTCATAGGTCGAATAGCCACAGTCAAGAAGTCAATACTTCCCAAGGTCAACTACCTTTTCTCCATGACACCAACCCACCCGCCCCCAACATGGTTCAAGACTCTAGACTCAATCATCTCAAAATTCTATTGGAAAAATAAAACCTCGAAGCGCCACAGTTTTTCAATTACTTCATAGCCACACACATACACTACATTTACAAATGGACCCATCCTACAAACTCTGAAAACACCTGGTTAGATATCGAACAAACACTCCAAGATCTCCCTTTCCTCAGCCAGACTATCCAAAACACACTCTCTTCAAAACACCGACTATAGCTGCTGCTCTGACAGTCTGGTGGAAATTCCACCAAATAAACTCAATTCCAAATAATAAACCATCAAACTCAATTCTACATGTCATCCATGTAGAGGAGGTGACTGATCTTTGCTCCGTTCCTGAGGTGGTATCCATAGCCAGTCTGGTCAATTATTTGGCTTACAGAGTTCAGGCCTATGCAGAACAGTAGTGGGGACAGAGCATCTCCTTGGTAGATACCACATTTGATGGTCACTTGTGCGAGCGGCTTGCCATTTGCCTCAAGGGTGGTCTTCCACATCTCCATCGAGTTTGCAACAAAGTCCCTTAGAGCCCTGTTGATATTGTACAACTTCAAGCATTCCATGATCCAAGTGTGTGGCATTGAGTCGTAGGCTTTCTGGTAATCAATCCAGGCTGTGCACAGGTTGGTGTGTTGTGACCAGCAGTCTTGGGCGACTGTTCTGTCAACCAGGAGCTGGTGTTTGGCTCCTCTGGTGTCTCTACCAATGCCCTTGTGTGCTGTGCTCATGAATTGTTCCATATGCCCACTTATCTTAGCCGCAATGATGCCTGACACGAGCTTCCATGTTGTGGAGAGACAGATTATTGGCCGATAGTTGGAGGGGTCAGGACCGTTCGCCCTTCGGTTAGCCATTCTGGGTGAGTCCCATCTCTCAGCAGCTGGTTCATTTGTGCTGCTAGGCGCTCATGGAGTGATGTGAGTTTTCTTAGCCAGTAGGCATGGACCATATCAGGGCCAGGTGCTGTCCAGTTTTTCATACCTGAGACTCTTTCTTGAATGTCTGCCTCTGTGATGGTAACTGAGTTCTGTTCTGGGAGGTGGCTGTGCTCCTCTCTCAGGGACACTAGCCATTGTGCACTGCTGTTATGTGCTGTGTGTGTATATATGATGGTATACAGTATGTACAGTGGGGTGAAAAAGTATTTAGTCAGCCACCGATTGTGCTAGTTCTCCCACTTAAAATAATGACAGAGGTCTGTAATTTTCATCATAGGTACACTTCAACTATGAGAGACAGAATGTGAAAAAAATATCCAGCAATTCACATTGTAGGATTTTTAAAGAATTTATTTGTAAATTATGGTGGAAAGTAAGTATTTGGGCACTTCAAACAAGTAGATCTCTGGCTCTCACAGACCTGTAACTTGTTACCTGTATTAATGGCACCTGTTTGAACTTGTTATCTGTATAAAAGACACCTGTCCACAGCCTCAAACAGTCAAAGACTCCAAACTCCACTATGGCCAAGACCAAAGAGCTGTCGAAGGACACCAGGAAAAGAATTGTAGACCTGCACCAGACTGGGAAGAGTGAATCTACAATAGGCAAGCAGCTTGGTGTGAACAAATCAACTGTGGGAGCATCCCATGATGCGCTGCGCCAAATACGCGTGTGTGGGTCTCACATGGGTCTCACCCACGTGCACAGCGGGGATCAGCCCCGCTCTGACCAATCAGAGCAGGTCATCAGAGTGGGAGTTAGAGCGGGAGCCAGACGAGCAGAGTTTCTGGCAGTAAAGTGTGGATTTAAAGAAAACCGAAGGATTTAAGAAGAAAAAAAAGTTCAGGATGACAAGGGACACTAAAATCCCCACAAAATCCGACCTTTATGAAAGCTGTAGGTTCTCTGTCAGCTGAGGCCGAGCTTTTTTAGTTTACAGTGAGTTCTATGGGGAAAATTTCTGGGTAGCCCACGTGAATTTAGTCTGGTTTAGTCTGCAGTACCGCGAGAATCCCCCGAGCACATGAGTTCTTCAGCTCCAAGCTAGTAATACCCTATCCAATTATTATAATAGTTCCATGGTGTGTTGTCATGGGGAAAGTCGGAACCGAGCAACCTGCAGGTATTTTTTCTGCGATCTAACTTTGTTTCAGAATATACAGTGGGTAACTGATATGCTTTCGCTGCAGACACCTCCTACACTTCATTTGACTCGGTTGTCACACTGTGTGCATGATCATACAGAGGAACTGGTGAGTCAACCTGTTTGGTTCTGTACGAAGCTAGTAGCTAGCGCTAGCCTGCGCTGCTGGACTATGGAGCCGTCCAGGGAGTGTCCATGTCCTCCCCGTGTCTCTAAATTAAAGCTGTGGTACCTACATTTTCCCTTGCATTAATAATGCATAATAATGTTGGTTATGCCCAAAAGTAAAATGTTGTGAACAAATCAAACAGAACATTGTTTTGATTTTTGTTTTGTTTTGCATTTTTAAGAGCCTTGTGAGGCATTATTTGACTTGGATTGAGTGTATAATCTGAGCTGACCTAAACTTTAGCATTAAAAAGAAGCATGTATAAAATCTCGATTAAGAACCACGCAGCAAATGGAGTATAGTATGTATAATACTATATACATACTATACATATATAGTATGTATATATATATATATATATATATATATATATATATATATATATATACGTTGCCTGGTGCCAAAGGGAAAATTCTGACCATCAGAGCACTGCCTGTTTGAAGCTGTAACTGAAGCAGGGGTACACACTGCAGGAGACAGATCAGGGTACACTGGGTGTGGGTCTGCGGTTAATGTGTGTGTGGCTCCAAAGCAGGGGGTGGTGCTCACAGGGCAGGTGCGCGTGCACGAGCAGGGCTAAAAGTGTGTGTGAATCTCTCAGACAAGTGAGAGTGAGTGAGTCTGGTCATTCTCCACCATTGCACAAATTTAATTTTGTACATGCAGGGAAATGATAAGTGACCGGAGTTTACGGATGGCTAAGGCCAGCATTTTTTATTGACCGTTTGCCTTATACGCTTTCTTTTCTCTCTTCAGGTCATATGTTACAGTTCATCAGTTTATCATTCATCCATATTTTGTTTGCTGCACTATTTACGTTAATAAATCACTTTAAAACACAATACTGGATCAAGGCTTCAAATTGCGGCTGCGGGAAGCCGCAACACACACTAACATAATGTTTTACCAAAGTCACTCATTCACTAATTCAAATCAACGGATGACTGTGATGTTCATCTACTACATGACTTCTGAGTCTGAGAATATATTCTCGAAGAGAATTAATGAGTTGTTCTCACCTTTCCAGTAGAGCGCACTCCTTTCCACACACAGAAGTAACAAATTGTCCAGGACAGCAGCATGCACAGGCAAAGTTCCCACTGGATGTTCCCCATCTCCTCAATCCCATATGAAATATTAAGCACACGCTTTCTGCAAAAACCATATAAACCATATTTTATTGTGACTTGCCTAAGACAAACATAAGATAAGATAAGATAAACCTTTATTAGTCTCACAGTGGAGAAATGTCAGTGTCATCGTTGCGCACATTACAGCAGAGAAAGGAAGTAAGAGCACTCATATATATACTGTATACCTGTGTGTGTGTTAGGGCTGTCAAGCGATTACAATTTTTTATTGAGTTAATTACAGCTTAAAAATGAATTAATCGCATTTCGAACTATCTGCAAAATTATGCCATATTTTTCTGTAAATGGTTGTTTGAATGGAAAGATAAATGACAACATAGTGTACATATGTACTGTTTGTTTATTATAACAACAATAAAACCATATAAAACGGCATTAACATTCTGTCTTTATGTAGAAGACAGTATTTTTTCTAAGTATTGAATGTTGAATTAAAACCCGTAATTTTTATTGAAAAATGTAGCTCATTGATTCAGCTTGTGTATGAATTCATTCTCTGATCTGTGTTAGTAATTTCAACGGCTTTGTTAAGTCCTCTGTCATAACTACTGTCGTGATTTAGGGCTATACAAGACTAAATTGAAGGATAAAGCCTGTGCATGACAATGTGACTTACCGCCAAAACTCTATAACTGAGGATGAGGAGGTTCTGTTGCGGGTGGTATTGTAGTCATTTAATACAACACACAGATCTGAAAGATACACAAACACACTCCACATGTACTCTATATGCCAAAAAAAACAGTTATCCATAACCATGAAATGTGATCTAATGCAAAAGTATTTACTTGAATTCCAGGTGTTGTTACAGACAGCCCATGGCAGTTCTCCAGAAAAGGATGAGAATAGGTAGAAAAATGCCCACGCTAAGATCACCACATAACTGATGCAGCCGTAAAATATGATCATTGTGCTTGCATAACCCATACCTATGGGAAGAAACATTATTTACTGTATATAACACAAAGGATTTTTAACACATTTATTATTTAATTTTTAGTTTATAGATTTTTTTTCTTTTTTATAGTAAAATGATTTATAATTTTTCTATCATATGGGGTATGAATACTACTAAAGCAGGCCACTGTGTTTCTCTCACCTTCGAACAATGGGCAGACCTTTCTCCAACACATGATTCCTCCCTGACTTGTGTATTGACCGAGTCCAGTCTCCAGAACGAACAGGGGAATACCACATGTCACCAGGAACAAGAGGTAAGGGATAAAAAATGCTCCTAGAAAAAAAGAGACAAAATTATGGTTTGTCCGATTTTAGCCACTTAGCAACGTCCAAAGACCAATTGCACAGTGTTATTGAATTAGATTTTTTTTTTTTAATTTTGTAATATTTTATGCATAAGAACAGAAAAGTGTAGATTTAATATTGTGATCGAAACCTTAAACCCACAAGCACAGAATGTGGCATAATGTGATTTCTCATTTAGTGAAAATCAAGCATAAAACCAATCTAAACACAGCACAGATAGCTCAATGTCAAACAGATAGTGGAACAAAAAAACACTATTTTATTCATTTGGACTTTGAACATGCCATTATTCATGTTACTTTTCCGTTCTATATTATTCATATATTTGGAGGAATATTTACACCACAAGACCTTCTCCACCTACTCCCACTGATGGCCATTGTGTCCTTGGGCAAGACACGTAACCCTACTTTGCCTGAAGCCCCCACTGTGCTCTCACCGACAGAGCAGCCAACCACATGTGGACTCACCACCTGCAGGAGGATCAGTGAGGACCACCACCTGCAGGAGGATCAGTGAGGACCACCACCTGCAGGAGGATCTGTGAGGACCACCACCTGCCGGAGGATCAGTGAGGACCACCACCTGCAGGAGGATCAGTGAGGACCACCACCTGCAGGAGGATCAGTGAGGACCACCACCTGCAGGAGGATCAGTGAGGACCACCACCTGCAGGAGGATCAGTGAGGACCACCACCTGCAGGAGGATCAGTGAGGACCCCCACCTGCAGGAGGATCAGTGAGGACCACCACCTGCAGGAGGATCTGTGAGGACCACCACCTGCCGGAGGATCAGTGAGGACCACCACCTGCAGGAGGATCAGTGAGGACCACCACCTGCAGGAGGATCAGTGAGGACCACCACCTGCAGGAGGATCAGTGAGGACCACCACCTGCAGGAGGATCAGTGAGGACCACCACCTGCAGGAGGATCAGTGAGGACCACCACCTGCAGGAGGATCAGTGAGGACCACCACCTGCCGGAGGATCAGTGAGGACCACCACCTGCAGGAGGATCAGTGAGGACCACCACCTGCCGGAGGATCAGTGAGGACCACCACCTGCAGGAGGATCAGTAAGGGGCTGGTGCTGTGGGATTTGGGGGCAGTCAGACCCAAAAATGGATTAAAGAGAAGAAGATGGATGGATGGAGTAAATTTAGGGAAACTAACTTAATTCAAGTTCGATCGGCAAAGTACTACATATTGTTCGTTGACTCTTAATTACATGTAGGGTGTAATATACTTTTGTTGTAGCATGAAAGTTGCTCATCTGCTCATGCAATTTTATCTTGAATTACTTTTTTATTCATTTTCTATCCCCAAGAGCTATCAGATAATAGCAGATGTTATGGTGTTGGTGTGACACCATAACAAAATAATTTGCAACAATACAGATAACACAAGACTAAACTAGATATGTCAAGCTTTTTGACTTCACACTCTTCAAGGTACACTCCACACACGTTAGCATAAAAATAGTATTTTGTTTTGTGTGCCTGTATGTTTTTGACAATTCAGTGCTGTTCGACACTGGGTTAACTCTGACGAAGCACTCAATAAACATACATTTGAAGGATTCAGAGAAGAATGTGGAGGGGCTTCTGGGACAAAGGGAGATTATTTTGGTTTCTGCTCCTGTCAGAGCCTTCAGCTCTCAGGACTATGCCCAGCTAAACATGTTTACAGCTGTCGCTTTGAAACATACTCTGAGACATTAGATTTATGTTATTAATAAATAAACAGCTATCATCTATTTTGTGCCTCTTTAAGGTTGCTTAATATTGTTAATTTCATCTCCTAATTTACCAACTTCTACAATGTATTTATTCTTTAACTTAAAGGCCGTATGTAATGTGCACAATTAGTGTTCTAATAAAGTAATTGCAATCCTGCTTTTGTTACTGGAATCTCCTAGCCTGTGACACATGTAGCTTCTAAGCATCAACTACTGATGTAATCCATCACTTTATTCATTTATTTTATCAAGAAAAACTAAGAAAAGGTCAAATATGATTTGTACGTGTAACCTTCTGTGGCTACATATAAACAATGTAGATGTAATGTATGAACTGTAAAACCATCCAGGAGTGGTTCATGATAGAAAAAATACCATTTCTGTATTGTCTTTGTCACATAACATATCACTAAACTGTATTCAACATTAACTTTTGTTTGAATTTCTATAGTTACCTCCTAAATAGACACTCACCTCCTCCATTCTTGTAGCAGAGATACGGGAACCTCCATACATTTCCTAGTCCGATTACAGCTCCAGCCACAGACAGAATAAACTCTGTCTTGCTGGCCCACTTGCCTCGCTCCACGCAGGGCTGCTTGTTGGGAAGTAAGTTACTTGCCATGGTATTGATGTGGTTCTGTGTGGCTGGGCTCAAGCTCTCATCCATGCATGTGGAAACCAAAACTAAAGAGTAAGGAGGGGCCCCCACTGGTGCACTTTTATACTGGGATTACCAAACATGACAGAGAAGATATTTTGTCCACAAGGGGGACCACGAGAATGGGAAATGTTATGAATCAGTATGCATAATAATAAAAAGGGTAAAGAATGTAGGTAATGATTTGACTTGTTTTGAAGTGAAGGGTATTACCAGAGGCATAAATATCTCAACACCTTAGAACATGAACCTGTCTGTCATTTTGACATCGGCACAGCAATGATATGTAATGATGAAAGCAGATGTTAATGAACATACTTAACTCCTCCATTAACTCCTCCTCCACAAATTTATTAAAAGCTAGTTGTCAAATAGGTAAAAATTTGTTAGACAATTATTCAAACAAGCAACATATGTGTTACGTATCAAACAAGATTAAAGCAAAATAATAGTTTAAATGAAAAATGAATGAATTTGTTTTTGTGAATACAACATGACATAAAACAATGTTAACATTTAAAACATTCCATTTTGAACATTTTCATTAAAGAACCCAAATATAATATCCAACGTGGTGAAGTCTTTCACATACTGTATTTTGGAAAACAGCCAACAGCGTGCGTCCTCCAAGAGTGTGAATCTGTGGATACATTCCAAACCAAGATGATCTGTGGTTTCTATATCTACTTCTACATCTACATCACAGAACACACATTTATTGCATTAAATTCCAAAATGTTTAGATTAATTCACTTCAAGGGTAGACACAAGGTTTCGTCCCTTTAGGAGGGATTGGTAATTTGAGTTATAGCTTGTCTGTGGGAGCAAATCACTCTCTGGGTGTGGGCCTCCTGAAGTTGTTCCTTGCCGATGCCCGAGGGTCTAAGGACAGTGGTGATATCCAGGATGTTTGAGGACAGGACATTTTTATTATCACTACATACATTACATATTCCATTCATCTGATAATTCTGCTCTGAGATTTCACTTGTCACTATACCTGTTACTATTGTTATTAACATTTTCATCAAATGCAGCGCTGGACACAATAGACCACAACATTCTACAGCGGAGGCTGGAATGTGACATAGGTCTCAGAGGAACAGCCCTTGGCTGGTTTAGGCAAGGCAAGGCAAGTTTATTTGTATAGCAGAATTTCATACACAAGGCAACTCAAAGTGCTGAACAAAATAAGATTGCCTTAAAATCATAAATAATCACAGTACTTTAAAAGAATGAAAAAAACTATAAAATCCCTCAGTTGTATGCACAGCTAAACAGAACTGTTTTAACCTGGTTTTAAACATTGTCAGAGAGGAGGCCTGTCTCACACTTTCATGAAGATTGTTCCAGATTTTAGCAGCATGAATCTGAAAAGCAGCCTCCCCATGTTTAGTTCTGACTCCAGGCACTAACTCCTATATATTGGATCGGTATCAGTTTGTCAATATTTGTCAAAACTCGATGCCTCATTCTAAAGTAACATTCGGTGTGCCACAAGGATCGGTGCTCGGGCCAATTCTTTTCATGTTGCCTATTAACTTCTACTGCAATGCAGACGACACACAGCTTTACCTGTCGATGAAACCAAATCAGACAGATCAGTAAAAAAGGCTTGGTGCCTTAAACAGGGTAACTGAGAGACTTGGTGTGGGTGCGACAAATGAAACCAGTAAGAAAAGGGGTAAAAAAAAGGAGGGGGGGTAAAAAAAAAGAGGAGTAAAAACTGCTGCAGTCCGCTTGTCCTCACCATACACTGTATATATTAACGGACAGAGTCACGCCTATCTCCGCCGTTCTAACTAATGGGCCAAAAAGAGTGCTCTACTGGAGCTATCCAAAATGGCCGCGAGTGGTCCCGCCCACAAGAAAATTGTGAAAAAACGCATCTGCGCATGCGTCAGCCGCCGCAAGCTCCATTCATTTGAACGAGAGACTTCAAAAATTCACAGCAAACTAGAGTGGTCCAAAAAATTTCACCCCCCTCAGCATTGACACACATGTGGAACGGAGCTTTGGGCCAAGAGCCAACTTTTGGTAGCCTGACTCTCGCCAGACCCATGTAGTTCGCTGCACTTGGTTCAGCCAAACGCCTCTGGTGGAGCATGGCGGAACTACAAGGGTCTGGCAGAGCCAGGCTAAACTTTTGGTCCATCCTGTAAAGACGTTTTCGAGAGGTCTGCCAATGCTATATGTTAGCATTGGCTAATTCTTCTTCTGGGTCGACCCCCATCGGCCCGGGGTGATATTGCAAGCATGTCAGCGCACATCATTTTGACCACTTTTGAGCCGGGACCCGCCCCCACTGGTCCTCTACGAGCTGGTACTTCTCCTCCTCTGTTCCGGGAATGTGCCGCAATCCCTTGTCCGCTGCTCGCCAACCCCGGGTTGTCACCGGACACCGACGAGGGAGAGCAGGCACATCCCTGCTGCGATGCTCCTCTTGGGCTTTAAGCCCTGCACGCCATCCTGTACTGTCAATGCATGCCCTCGTCCAGGCCACATTGCCGGTGCCGCTCTCCCAGCTGTCCTCAGTCCACCTGAATGCCTCTGCCTGGCAGCAGCCCTCGCTGGCCCGTACATGCGGCGCCAACCCAGCCCACCACATGTCCTTTCATTCCCACCGCTCTGCCGTTATATACCAAGCCCCGGCGATCCAAGATGGCGCCCTATTCAAATGAATGGTTGTGCTCAGTGGCGCTTTGTGACGGCATGGGGGCTGAAAGATTAGCGGAAGTTGCCTGAAACTCGCAAAGATCTATGGGAAACTCGCAAAGATCTATGGGAAACTCGCCTGTATTTGGGCATCGTCTGGTCCTCCCGGTTCTGCGCAGTGGATGATCTCCCATAATGCGTTGCGCCAAACACGCGTGTGTGGGTCTCACACCGGGTCTCACGCACGTGCACAGAGGGGCTCGGCCGCGCTCTGACCAATCAGAGCAGTTCATCAGAGCGGGAGTTAGAGCGAGAGCCAGACGAGCAGAGTTTGTGGCATTAAAGTGTGGATTTAAACAAAACCGAAGGATTTAAGAAGAAAAAAAGTTCAGGATGACAAGGGACACTAAAATCCCCACAAAATCCGATCTTTATTAAAGCTGTAGGTTCTCTGTCAGCTGAGGTCGAGCTGTTTTAATATGCATTGAGTTCTATGGGGAAAATTTCTGGGTGGCCCACGTGAATTTAGTCTGGTTCAGTCTGCAGTACCGCGAGAATCCCCTGAGCACATGAGTTATTCAGCTACAAGCTAGTAATACCCTATCCAGTTAATATAATACATCCATGTTATATACGCAGTTCCACAAAGAGTCCCGTGCATGGGAAGGATGAGGGGCCATGGCACAAGTGGTTAAAACTTACTTTAAAATACATTTGAGAGCACTCAAAAAGATCAAAACACACACCATGCAAATATAAGTATAAAACCAGTTGAAAATGTGGGACTAAAAACTTGTGCCCTTGACAGAGGCGGAGCCAGAGGGGTAGCCAGGGTGGCCACTGCCACCTCTAAAAATATCCTTGCCACCCCCAGTGCCCCCCTCGGAAGACGGCAATGTAATAATGTTAATCTTGAGAATCTTCCGCACTTTTTCCGCCAAAAGCTAAAATTTCCCACGGTTTCCCCCGTCTTTGAACGCACCCTGAGTATGCTAATGTTTTGGGTTGTTGGACTCAGGTGTGCCCAAGTCGTGATGAAAACAAAGAGGTAAGTTAGCGATGCAGAGCCAACCGTTTACATTTGACACAAAGTATAGACACACGTACTGCAGCGCTTTACTTGTTCAGTTTGTAGAACTTTTAGTGTGTGTGTGCGTGCCTGTATGCGCGCCTGTGTGCGTGTGTCAGCGTGCCAGTGTGTCTGCGTGTGTGTGCGTGCCTGTGTGTGCCAGTGTGGGTCTGCGTGCCTGTGTGCGTGTGTGCGTGCCTGTGTGTGCCAGTGTGGGTCTGCGTGCGTGTGTGCGTGCCTGTGTGTGCCAGTGTGGGTCTGCGTGCAGTGTGTGTGTGCGTGCCTGTGTGTGCCAGTGTGGGTCTGCGTGCCTGTGTGTGCCAGTGTGGGTCTGCGTGCCTGTGTGCGTGTGTCAGCGTGCCAGTGTGTCTGCGTGTGTGTGCGTGCCTGTGTGTGCCAGTGTGGGTCTGCGTGCCTGTGTGCGTGTGTGCGTGCCTGTGTGTGCCAGTGTGTGTGTGCGTGCCTGTGTGCGTGCCTGTGTGTGCCAGTGTGGGTCTGCGTGCGTGTGTGCGTGCCTGGTGTGTGCCAGTGTGGGTCTGCGTGCGTGTGTGCGTGCCTGTGTGTGCCAGTGTGGGTCTGTGTGCGTGTGTGCGTGCCTGTGTGTGCCAGTGTGGGTCTGCGTGCCTGTGTGCGTGTGTGCGTGCCTGTGTGTGCCAGTGTGGGTCTGCATGCGTGTGTGCGTGCGAGTGTGCATGCGTGTGTATTTTCCATTATTAATTGCCCATCGTATCATCGCCCTCTTCCCTTTCGTGTAAACATGAAAAGAAAAGGAGGAAACATTGCCTACATGCCTTTTTTTGTTAGGAAAAGGCCTGTAGATCAGGATGATGAAACCTGAAGGTCAGACTCGGAGGCAGTATGTTTTAAGATGATGAGGAATTTGTTGTGTTGTATTAAAATATAGCTTATATAATTGAGTTTCAGAGAATGAGAGGGAGTCACAGACAGGTGCAGGATTGACTATTGGCAGAAGGCGTTTTTTCACACACAAAAAAAGAACAAAAATAGCTAAGATTATGGATGATGTGCAGTCGCTTAACCCCAAAATAACTCCTTAGCAAGAATTGGTTTGAGAGAGGAGTGAAAGAAGCCATTTTTGTGAGGAAACAAAAACCTTCTCTTAACAGAGGAGGAGGGTTAAGATTTGTTTTGCCTCGCATCTATGACGACATCCTAAAAACAACGCCCTAACTTGGGACAAGGTCAGTGACATGCTAATGAGTTAGGAGGGGTGAGACCTGCACTCCACTTGAGCATCCCAGCAGACAATAGGTCTGTGACATGC